CCCCCCCCATCACCCGTCTGGGCAGTGCTGGGTGGGGTGCGTCTGGAAGGCTGGCCTCAACAGCCACGCCCCGGCCCCAATGCTCACCACCCAAGACGAGCCTCCTGGAGGGAGACGGACGCGGGAGCCTGCCCTGGGAACCCCCTCCTTGGAGCGCACGGGGTCCCTCTTCTAGGCAGGCTGCCGGCTGAGCGTGTCCTGTGGCCCTACCTTGACGTAGTAGGTGACCAGGACCTTGCGGAGGTCGAAGACCTGCAGCATGGAGGCGGCATTGTTGTCACTGATGCTGTAGCCCTCCAACACATACTTGCTGGCCGTCACCTCCCAGGCCAGCCAGCGCTGCCCAAAGGCGGCGTTGAAGGACAGGACCCGAGGCAGGTGGCCTGGCTCGCAGCAGCAGCAGCCTCCGTCCTCCTCCACGCCCTCAGTGATGGCCTCCACCTCTCGCTGCTGGCAGTACGTGCCTGGGGGCGGGGGCAGATGGGCAGTCAGGGGCCACGAGAGACCCTGCTTGCTCCTCCTGTTGCCTCGCCCAGCAAGGCACTGCAGCGTGAGCTGGGCCGGGCGACTCACCCTCCTGGGCCCCTCCCTCTTCCTAGACTCCAAGCTCACTCTGGGGATCCTGGGAAAGCTACTTGACCTCTCTGAAGCCCCTGTGTCCTCCTTTGCCAAACGGACCTGATGCTATGAGCCCCTTCCGAGGTCACGGGAAGGGCGGCCTGAGGTGCCTGGACGTGAAGAAGCTAGCAGCTGGCCTGGCTGGGCCCCCACAGCTCAGTCCCACTCCCACCACCCTCTCTTCAGTCTCAGGCCCGGGGCTGGGCCCCAGGGGACACCTGGTGAGCCCTCCTGTACAGGTGGGGCCAGGCCTTGCTTCAGTTCCCAGCTCCCCTCCTTGAGCCCCGGTCACCCTCACTCCTCTGAGCTGGAAGTCTTTCTTATCCCCAAAACTGCCCTCTCAGAGCCACTCAAGTCCCCTCAGCCTGCCCCTGGGCCTGTGCAGCCCAGCCCCTCGCTCCAGCCCCCGACGCTCGGCCCTGGATGAGAATGCCCCATCACCCCAGCTCAACCTCCAGTCTCCAGCACAAGTGTCAACCCTCATAGTAACCTGCCCGGGTCCCCCAAACCCGGTGCTGTCACGTCCATCCCAACTCCCAGGGAGTTGTCCCTGTGGGACAGAGGCCGGTCCCCTAGAGCTCCCGAGGCTGCCAGTCATTAAGGAAACAGACTCCCAAGGAGGCACGGGGCAGTTCAAGCTGCTGGCCTTCTGGTCAGTAGACAAGCAGGCTGTGTGACCAGGATTCCCGTGGACGCCTCAGGCACACATGTCCCTCCCAGCAGCTTGACTCAGTGTCAGCTTCACACACGAGTCAACAGGCAGCCCGTGGTCAGGCCTGACCCTGCTCAAGGTCACGGTGCTCCCGAGAGGCACAGCCCCTCGGAAAGCCGGCCCTGGGCCTGCCCATCTTCCTGAGGGCCAGGTACTGGGTCACCCCCCAGGGCCACACCTGAACAGTGAGCAGACCCACGGGGGCTGGCGGTCTATACTCCCCCTGCCCCCAACAAGCTCCAGGCCAAGGACAACAGCAGGACAACCTGGGCAGTGACGACGGCCCCAAGTCAAAGCAGGGATAGGGCCTGGACAAGAAGCCTGCCTCAGCATTGAGGCCGCCCCCCCTCCCCCTGCATGCTCACCCCGGAACTCCAGGCCGCGCAGCTGGAAGGTGACGAGCCCGTTGCCGACCTCAATGAGGTGCACCAGAGCGTTGAGGTAGTCGGAGGCCAGGACGAAGCAGTCTCCGGGGCCATAGTTGCCCCAGCGGCCCAGCACGAGGTCCCCGCACAGCGTGTGTTGTAGTGAGCGCGTCAGGTGCTCGTAGAAGATGGAGTTGAGGTTATTGTCGTCGGCACCTGAGGCCCAGGACAGACGGACCGAGGGGCAGGTGAGGGAGGCTCTCCTCCTGGGGAAGGACGCAGCCAATCCCCCGCCCCACCCCCAGGCAGCCAAGTACCCACCGGGGTTCCTGTCCAGCTGCGTGACCAGGCGGGTGTTGGAATGATCCACGCGTTTAGTGCTGTTCCGAGAGAGAGTGCACAATGTAGCTGGGCTAAATGCCGCCGCCCACCCTGCCTCGGTCTCCTCACACCCAGGACAGCCTGTGTTTGTTCCAGGTGAAGAGGGGACGGTCCCTGACTCAGGACCTGCACCAGCTGTGCCCAAGGCCTACACCATCCCTGACCTCTCATTCCCACCACCACGGGGCCCGGCCATGCTGAAGCCCCCATCCGCCGCCGCCCCGCTCACTTGTAGTCGCGCTCCCAGAACTTGAGAGGCCGCGCGTAGGACATGATGAAGACCGCACTGCCCAGCAGGGGGTTGAGAGGTGTGGAGAAAAGTGCCGAGAGCAGGGCCTGGACGAACAGCATGGCCGAGTCTGGGCACTGGTCAAGGAGGCAGCGGGCACGAGGACCCCCACCCCCGCCTGCCTCTGCCCTGTGGCTCCCCACCCCACCGCCTGCCTCCACCCAGCCGCCCTCCAGCTCCCCCACCCCGCCGCTGCCGCCCCTGCACCCTGTCCGACCGCAGGGCAGGCCGGGTACGAGGCACAGCGAAAGGCTGGGCAAACGCGTGGAAGGCCGAGCCCCAGGTGATCTGCCAGGGCGCGATGTAGGTCAGCACGAAGCGCAGCTTGTACAGCAGGTCCCACAGCTGCAGGCGCGGAGACACCAGGGTGGGCGCTCAGGGAGGGGGCGTGGCCCAGCCCCCCATGCCAGGCCCACTCAGTGCACACGATCTCGCCCAGCCCTCTTCCTCTGGACTTCTGAGCTCTTTAACCCTCACACCCCCCAGGGAGGGTCCCCCGCCCGTTTCACGGCTGGGAAGGCCGAGGGTAGACTGTCCTTCGAGTCGCCCCGCCCGCTCCATGGGATGGAGCATCAGAGAGTGGCCACAGGCCTTGTCTCCTCCACCTGGGCCTCAGAAGCTAGACAAACCAGCCTACTGGGGTGAGTGCAAGACCCGGGCCTGCAGCAGGCTCCTGGGTAGCCCCAAGAATCAGGGTTCACTGTGATCCTCAGCCCCAGTCAGGGGAACCCTCGGTGACATGGGGCAGTCCCCCGAGGGCCCCCAAGATCTTCTGCGGTGATGCACGGCTGGGACAGAGCTCAGAGGGCAACACCCCCCCTTAACATTCTAAGCAGACCATGGTCAGAGGAGTGGCGAGAGAAGGGACTTCAGGGTGGTCACCTGGGCCTGGGCTCAACTCCCTGGGGGACTGAGGCAGGTTGCTGGCTGCTTTAAGCCACCACAGCCTCTGATGGTGTGGGGGACCCCTCCAAGAGCGGCTGCACAGGCCCTGGGGGGCTAAGAGGCACGGCCACTGCCAGGCCACCAGGCTGGGAGGGTCCCCCACTCCCAGGGATAGATGCACGCCCTGCTCACCTTGCTGCAGACCAGGGACATGAGGAAATAGTCGAGCAGAAAGCCCTGGGAGAGGCGCGGGTAGTCGAAGTGGAAGAGCAGGACGGTGAAGGCCAGGGTCAGGTACTGCTGGGGCGGACAGCAGAAGGCCGAGCGCAGCAGCTTCAGCCCCGCCACGGTCATCAGCAGCGCCCGGCAGCTGGGGGCCAAGGGCAGCCACTTAGGAGCCCAGGGGCAGAGGGTAGGTTGCGAGGGGGATGCCCCAGCCCACACATCCCCGCCTGGGCCCTGGCTCCCAAGCTAGACTCGTGGCTCCCCACTCCGGCTCAGCCCCTGCCCCGTGGTGGTGGGCACATCTGCTCTCAGGAAGTGGAGCCGGGAGCCCCAGTCCTGCGTGAACTCTAGAGGTAGTGTCTCAGTGACCCCCCAGGGCAGGTAAAGGCAGGTGGTCCTCACTAGAGGCAGAACTTGTCCGGGTGGCTGACAGTCGTGTGGGCGTCCACCGTGAGAGCGTTGAGCACCACGGCAGGGTAGATGAGGTACTTCTCCACACACTGCAGGCCCGCGTACAGCTTCTCGAAGCGCATCACCTGCGCGGCCCCTGCAGGAGGAGGCAGGACTGTTTCGTGCTCTGCGAACAGTCGGGGACCTGAAATGCTCTAAGGGCCGAACCAGGCCCTACGGGCATCACCCAGACCCCAGTGCTCGGGGGCAGAGCCGCAGGGACCTCCAGCATGGACTACCGCCAAGGATAAATGTGACCTTCGTGTGACAAACCTAGACATGAAACGTGGACCCGTGATACTGTGGCACAAGATGTGTCTGGAGACGTCACCTGCAGGGGGGTCACTTGGCTGTTCTGGACAAGAGGCCCCTGAAAAGCCCACTGCCTGTGAGTCAATTCTGCATCCTCCCAGCCCCACAGAACTGCACAGAGATCGCCACGCCTCTCTCCAACCACCAGAGACTTAACCACTGCACCACCAGGGCTCCGGAGCAGTGCCCCGAGAGCACAGGGGCTCTGCTCTTCCACTCGCTCAGACAGCACGGTGGGCAGACCGAGCAGAGCAAGGCTCAATGGGGCCCACCGAGGGCAGCTCAGGGGCCTCAGCCCGCCTGCCCTGGAGGCTGCGGGGGCGGGGGGTGGCACTCACCCCGAACTTCATACTGGCTGTACTCCAGCGGCTTGAGCACCGGCTGTGAGAGGCAGAACCAGGGCAGCTGCTTGCGGAGCTGCGGCAGCAGGTAATGAGTGAAGAGGCCCACGGCGCCGGCCAGCGCGTACAGCACGAACCCCAACACAGACTGTGGGGGGAGAGGTCAAAGGCTCAGCCAAGGCCAGGGCTCACGCAGGTGCCGGGGGTCTGGGGAGCCACACCCACCTTCAGGGCAAGGAAGACGGTGCTGGCGCTGATGGCGAAGGTCAGCACTGCGATCACCACGCACATCACCAGGTCGGAGTGCAGGACCTCTCGCTGCAGCCAAGAGCAGTGTGGGCCCGCCAGCTCCAGCCCTGCATGGCCCCCCGCCCTCAGCCGCACCATAACCCTACACCCCAGACCCACACTGTCACCCAAGTCATACCCCAACCCTCTAGCCCAGCCCTGCACCACCCCTCTCGATGGCCCCCAGCTCCCTGCCCCTCACCACTGACTGGCGCATCTTGTCTGGCAGGGGGTCTGGGGGCTCGGCCCGGGCCGTCTCCAGGCTGCGCTCCTCCAGCTCAGGGAAGAGCTTGCTTCGGATCAGAGACCTAGGACCAGGGTGGGCAGAGACGCAGAGACGCAGGTCGCAGGTCTGGGCCTGGGAGACCTCCCCTCCCCGCTCTCCGTCACAGGCATGTGCGCAGACTGCCCTGCGGAGCACGCACACGCGTGTGTGCACAACAGGCACGTGCGGGCACCAACCAGAGCACGGTGGGGTCGCTGCTCTGCCGGCTCAGGTGGTAGGACAGGGCCACCAGGAGGCCACAGAAGACAGAGAAGAGGACAGGGACATGCTGGTCCGGCCAAGGGGTCTGGGGAGAGAACCCATGTTGGCCGGGGGCAGGGGAGCCCGAGCGCGGGTCCCACAAGTGAGAGACGACAGCTGGGCTCAACTCACAGCCCCCTTCCCCACTGCCCCCCAGCCCCCACCGCGGGGCTCCTACCTTGATGGCCCCAAGGCAGAAGCCGTAGAGCAGGGCGGCAGCCATAAGACTGCGAGACAGGCTGAAGACAGCAGTGAGCGGGCTGGTGGCCGCTGCAGGGGGAGAGGAGGCAGGACCGACTCTGGGCTTCTCTTCCAGTGGCTCCTGGCCCCTGCCCTACTGCCACCTCCACGCGCCACCCCCCCACCCCCCCCAGAAACCGAGCTTCCCTGGAGAGCCCCGTAGCCCCGTGCTCCCCGCCGCAGCCTTGACTGTGGAGACTGATGGGGACAGCTCGGCCAGGGCCAGCCTGTGGACTCTAAGAGCTCCATACCAGTGCCTCCAAAGCCGTGCATGTCAATCTGCTCCAGCAGGTACATGAGGCAGGTGTTCACCTGGGGCAGGAGGCCCAGCAGGAAGACCAGCGGGAAGCACAAGGTGAATACTGGGGGCAAGAAGCAAGGCCTGGTCAGGGGCCACACACGCACCCCCATCCCTCCCCCGCCCACGGCCCCCTGTCCTGCCCAGCCTCACCAGTGGCCACGTCTCGGGCACAGAAGAAGAAAGAGGCGGAGAAGAGCGTGAGGCCATACAGGGAGACGGGAGGAAAGGACTGGGCCGAGCCCAGCGCGTCCAGCAGCCAGATGAGCAGACAGCAGATGCAGAAGTAGACGGGCCGGCTGTATGCGATCACCCAGTTGTGGCCCTGGGGAACCGGGCTGTGAGCAGCAGGCACCGCGTGGACACACACACGTCCCCCGGGGCCCCGCCCCTGGGTACTCACGTGCATAGGGGACGCTGCGTCGGGCTGGACGCTCTGCAAGAGATCAGGTCCACATTGGTGAGGAGCCCAAGCCCATGGCGGTCAGGCCCCCTGGGAGGCCAGCCCCTCACCATCCTGGACCTTGGTATTCTGGTCTAGAGAATGGGCTCAGCTACCAAGGCCCTTAGCATCCATTCCTTTCTATGCACATGTCTCAGAGCCGGGGGCACAGTGGGGAGGGTGGGGTAGGGGTGTCAGGATACTGCTGGGGGGGGGGGGCGCCCAACCTTCAGCAGGGAGTACTGGCAAGAGGCGATGACCAGGCAGAACTGGAAGACCCAGATGTCCGTGAAGAAGCCCTTGAGCAGCAGCAGGTAGCCCAGGAAGGCGACAAGGCTGCTCAGCCCGACACCAAAGATGTTCTCCACCGTCCCCCGTGTCCTGCGCAGACCGTGGGGTTAGGGCACACGCCAGCCCTGGGAGTGAAGCCAGGGAGGACGCAGGGGTGGGGACAGAGAGCCCTGGCATAAAGGACCCAACCAGCCCCTCGGCCCTCAGGGATACCCACTCCATTGCTGCCCCGCCTCCCCACCACTGCCCCCTGCAGACACAGGACTCCATGGGCTTCACTTCCAGGGCTGCTGGCCCCAGCTCCTCCAGAAGGGAGCTGTGCAGCGGCAGCACTCGACCCTGCGGCGGCACTGACTCACGAGCTGACACGGCCAACACGGGGTCACATCCAGTCAGCCCCTGACAGATACCAAGTCAACATCCAGTCAGCCCCCGACAGATACCAAGTCAACATCCAGTCAGCCCCCGACAGATACCAAGTCAACATCCAGTCAGCCCCCGACAGATACCAAGTCAACAGCTGCCACTAGCACGCCTCTGCCCCTTACCACACACACAGACACTGGGCCGTATCCACAGCCAGCCCCCACCAGACACCACCGGGTCACAAGCTGCTACCTGCCCCAGACACCCCCCCCAAACACACAGACACAGAGACTAGTCACACGCAAAGCCACCCAACACACTCACCAGGTCATTCACACACAGCCAGCTACCGATCTATACTGGGTCACCCCAGCCAGTGCCCAACCAAGAGCAGGCCATCCACAGTGGACACTCGGTCACACCCACAGCCAGTCCCTTCCACTCCTGCAACAGGGACCCCATCATCAACCTCGAGCCACACCCAGAGCTGGCCCCAATCAACATCAGGTCACCCACTGCCACCCCCAGACACTGGGTTATCCACAGCTACCCCCAGAAACCGAGCCACCCATGGACACCGGATCACACATAGCTGGCCCTCAACTGCCCTCAGTCCCTGATGGACATGGGGTCACACTCACAGGCAGTCCATCACACTCTCAGCTGACCCCCAACTCACACCGACACCCACACGGCCAGCCCCCAGCACCAGGCCACCCACACAGTGGGTTCCCAATTGGCGCTAGGGCTCAGGGCCAACAGCAAGCCAGGAGCCCCAAGTCCCCTACAAAAGTCACCTGGCTTCTGAGCCTGTTTCCCCTGAGGAACGGGAAGGTGAGAGGAGGATTGAGCCGAGGCTTCAGGACCTCCACTCCTCTGCAGTCTGGTGGTCTCAGGCCACCACAGAATTCAAGGGCCCCCCAGGCGGGGCACTCACCGGTCCAGCAGGGCCAGCAGGGCCAGCCGCTCGTAGCGCACGGAGGTCCAGCGGCCGGGGAGGAGCCAGTACTTGTAGCTGTGCTGGGCACGGGGCGGGGCCTCCTCCATCAGCGTCTGCTCCTGGGATTCGTGCAGGGAGTCCTGGTCCGGCAGGTCAAACTGCAGCCCCATAGCCGCGGCCATCAGCCCCGCCACCCCCCACCCCCCTCCGAGTACCAGCCTGTGGCCACTGCTCTTCAGCACAGAAAGCCCTCTGCCCACCAGCGCAGGGCCCAGTGACCTGCCGACTGCCTCAGGGGCCGCTCCTTTCTTGGAACGCCAGGGCTCAGCATGGTGACTGTCGCTGGGTCCCTGTCGCTAACCCCCACCACCGGTCAGCCCCACACAGGCATCCCTCCTGCCTCTTCCAGGACGCAGCGACGGCCACCTTGCCCTCCAGCAGGAACTACTCTAGGCTTTTGGTCTCTGCAGTCCACCAGTGTTTAGGGGACATGCGGTGGGCCCGGATGCCAGGCATGGGGCTCTGAGGATCAACGGCCACCAACCGTGTACCGAGGGCAAAGCTGCCCTGGGCGTGAGGGCTGAGTAGAGAAGATGAATCGGAAGGGCCACGCGGACCTGCTGCCCAGGGTCCCTCCGTGGGCTCGGCCAACAGCGTGAGGGCAGCCAGGCCGCTCCCAGGAGCAGAAGGGAGCAACTGTCCCGAGCACGGTGCGTCCGTGTGTGGCACGCAACCGCTGCTTATTGTGCTTTACGCAAGCAAACAACGCGCGCCTGTGAGTGTGCCTCTTTTGCCACAGGCACCTTACAGGTGTAAACCACAGTGACCACCAACCTCTAGTGGGTGTCCTAGCCAACACCCACATGGCTCCCCATTAACTGTGGCCCCTCCAGGGAGGAAAGGTGCTACAGCTAGATAGCTCTGCTGCGGTCAGGACAGGCAGCGCCCGCCAGGAGCCTTCGCTCGGAGCCGCCTGTCCCCCGAGCCCCAGAGCAGTAGTCGCTGCCCCTCCTGGGGACCGGGTCTGCCCTGCCCCCTGCTGCCCGGTGGCTCCTCACCTCTGGAATCTCTAGCGGCACCCGGCGCACCTGCATGCCCTGCAGCACCACAGGCCGGGACTGCAGCAGGTTCAGGCCCCCCGCCGCCTCGGGGACGTCGGCAGAGTGGAAGCTGGAGGAGTGTGAGTGGCGGTCCCTGTGGGAAGGGAGCCCAAGGATGGGCCGAGGGAGGCCGACGGTGGGGGCCCAGGGGCTGTCCCCAGTGCCCAGAGACCACTGGAGTCTTGAGGAGGCATGTGGCAGAGCACCCCCGTCTCAGGCCTGTCCCAGGCGCTGAGAAAACCACCACCCCCACACCTGGCTCCTGCTGGAAGTGTCCCCGGTGGGCCTGCCCCTGCCTTGGTCCCGGGCTGGGAGATGCTGCCACCCTGAGGATGCTCCCTAGACATGGCAGTGCCCGGGCCACAGACACCAAGCTTGGCAACTCACCAGGCTCCGTTGGCTGCCTGCTCGCCCTGCTGCCCCACGGGGTTCTCGTAGCCCCCTCCAGCCAGACCGAAGGTGTAGGACCGCCGCACACCTGGGACGGGGGCAGGGCAGAGTCAGGGGGCCAGGGCACGAGCTGTGTGGCCATCAGAGCCATCAGTTGGGGAGAGATCGGGATGTCAGCCTGCCTTGGGCCTGAGTTACACTGCGGGGCCCACGTGGGAGCCCCTGCTGGGCTGCGTCTGTCTCCTCTCAGGCAGGGCAGGGCGAGACTGAGGAGCTCAACTGCACCTGTGCCCCAGACAACGTACCAAGGTGACAGGTGCAAAAAAAAAAAAAATGGTGACAGGTGCCAGGGCAGGGACGGCTCCCCCCAGGGCCTGGGAGTGGGACTCGAGGTGGGCACCCACCGCTCTCGTCGTAGAAGTAGTGCACAGCACCCTCAGAGGTGTCGTCGAAGGTGCAGGCCTCGTGAACGTGGGCGCCGGCGCGGGTGAGCAGCAGCGAGGAAGCAAAGTGCAGGGCAGAGGGCAGCGTCAGCGCCCGAGAGTGGGAGGCTGCCCGGACCCGCTGAGCCTCCTGCAGGCTGCTGGCGGGGAGGAAGGGGAGGGCAGGAGGGTCAGCACTGTTGCTGCCGCCCACCCCCAGGACCCGCCCGCCAGCAGGGTGCTCACCTGGGGGGCGAGCCCATGACAGAGGCTGGGGGCGTAGGGTTGCTGCCTGCGTTGTGGCGCCTGCGGATGGCCTGGGTCCGCCTCACACTACTTGAGCGGTCCCGCTTGCCCGTCTCCTCGGCTACTGCCCAGAGAGACCCCGGCACACAGGACAGGAGTTCAGGAAGGAAGGAACCCTGAGGCCCTGCCCTGGTTCCCCCATTCCTCAACCCCAAAGGGGCTGGGAGCATGACTGCGCGCCCTGGGAGCTGCCAGTGCGGCGTCTCCCACCCCTGCTACCTGATGGTAGCTGGGTCCACGCTAGACTCCTCCTCCTTGGCATGGAAGCAAAGCCCCCTGCACCCTCAGGCCAGCACTCACCTCCCCCCACGGCACCTTCCTCCTGCAGCTCGCCCCGCCAGCCAGGCTGGTTGGCAGCAAGTCCCCTGCGGGCCTCAGCAGGCAGCACGGTGGGCTCCCCAGCAGCCAGCTCAGCCCCGGCCTGGGCCTCCAGCTCGGCCTTGGAACCAGCCAGGGGAGCCCTGAGCACGTCACCCCCCGCCCCGTCCATGCTCAGCACCCGTGCGTGTGTCTTGGCGCTGGCGGTGCTGGGAGTCCGCTGGGTTCCGTAGGGCCGCTTGGGGGGCACAGCAGCCCCATCCTCAGTGCCGTGGGGGGCCCGCCGCTTCCGGGGTCCCCCCACAGCACCCCGGGAGCTCTCAGGGGAGTAGCAGGAGGTGGAGGAGGAGCTGTCGGTGCTGTAGCGGTGCTGCGAGCGGAGGCTGGAGGCTGGGCTCAGCTCGCTCCCCTCGCTGGTGTCCTCGTCCTCAAAGAAGGCCCCGCCCTCAAGCAGGGGCCTGCGAGGGCGGCTGGGGGGGGAGTGTCTCCGTGTGGGGGGCCGCCGTTTGCTGGGCCGCAGCAGGGCCAGGTCCTTGGGCCGCACCACCAGGAGTGGCTCAGGTGGGCCAGGGGGTGTCCCTGCGCCGATAACGGTATCGAAAGAGCGCAGGGTGTCATCCGAGGGGACCCCCGCATCCGGGGAGGCCGGCAGCTCAGCCTCTGAGGGTGGGTCTGTGTCACTGCCCCCAGGGCCCAGCCCACCTGGGGGGCTGTCCAGGTGGGTGGAGTTGGTCTTCTCGCTCTTGAAGCTGCTCAGCGTCTCCCGGTCCGTGCCGCTGAAGCAGGAGTCCGAGGAGCCAGCCTTTCGGGGCGTGGGCTCGCCGGAGCCGTGCCGGTCCAGGGGCTGGTAGCCACTGGCACCCCAGCGCTGCTCCCGCCGGCTGCTGGTCCTCACCAGGGCCCGGTCAGGCCCAGTCAACGTCAGGAAACTCTTGCTCAGCTCCTGGCTGAGGCTCCCTTTCAGCAAGGGGCTCATGGGCGTGTCAGCCACGCTGCTGCCGTTCCAGGGGGCTCCGTCACCAGCCAGCGGGGAACGCTCTGAAGAGTCCGTGCTGGGGAGGGAAGGGTCCGCGGCAGCCCCTGGGGGTGTCTGGGGAAGGTCTCCAACTGTTCAGAAAAAAAGGGGACGGGGGATCAGGACGGCAGCCTGCAGCAGGAATTATGGGTAGGGGGCTGGCGAGGCCCCATCTGGGAACACACAGGGAGCCCCAGGACGGAGAAGTCGGGGTAACTCTAAGTAACGACCGCTAGCTCCCCCCACCGCCCTCCTCTCCCACACACCCAGGCCACTCACTCAGTTTCTCCTTCAAGCTCAGCTGCAGCATCTCCCGGTCGGCGGCAGTCAGGATCACGTTGTTGCTGCCCTGCTCCCGGACCAGCTCCTGGATGTCTACAGAGGAGGGTGCAGACCCCGTCAGCAAGACCAGGGCAGTGGCCTGTCCCCCCCCACCCTCCAGCCCTGCCCCAGCGGGACCCACCTACCTCGGAGTGGCCCCGAGTCCTCCATGCGGGGCAGCAGCTCCTGGGTGACCGGAGGGAGGCATGAGGGAGCAAAGAGAGGCAGAGGGAAGCTGGGGACAGAGATGTGGTGGGTGGGGCATGCCTGGGGGACAAGGGTAGGGCTGAGGGCTGGAAGGGCTCACCGAGACCTGGTTGAAGCCAAACACCGAATGCTGGGAGCTGCAGCGCACTGGGGGCGTGGAACCCACTTTCCGAAACACGGTCATCTCTACTCCCGGGTCCCTGCAGGCAGAGGGGAACAGCAGCCTTGACCTTGCTCCGCCTGCTGATGATCCATGATTTCCCCTTCTCAAGAAAGCCTTCCCAATCCCCGGGCCAACCAGAGAACAACTACCGAGCCTCAGTCACAGAGCTAATGTGCCAGAAGCCCCCCCCACCCTCCTCCAGGGCCCCCGGGGCTCAAGGTCCAATCCTGCCCCGTCCCACACACCTGGGCGGACTGCCGTCCCCCTGGGCAGGCTCTTCCTCGGGCTCTCCGGTGGGTGAGCGGCGCTTCTCCACAATCTCGCCCTGGTCGAACATGGCATGCAGACGGTAGTTCACAGTCTTGATCGTTGCAAAGATGACTGCCACCACCAGGCAATACACGCCAGCCACCAGTAAGCTGGGGGGCAGGACCTGGAGGAGCGCGGTAAGTCAGGCCCCCTCCTGCACAGGCTCTGTCCCCATGTCCCCAACCGCCACTGAGGCTAAACCCTCTGATGCACAAGGATGCGCACACAAGCGCTCCAGGCCCCGTCCACTATTCTGACAGGATACAGGTGAAGCGGAGTGGGCTCAAGGTCACCCGGCCGGGGAGAAGGGTTTAGCCTCACCTTTACACATCCCAAAGTCTGCAGTGATGCCTCTCCCCACACCTTGGCACTCAGACTGCCCGCTCCCTGGCCTTCCTGACCTCCCCCCCCTTCCCCAGCGAGCGCTCCGGCGACATCTCACCATGTACAGCAGGAAGGGAAAGGTGAGCAGGAAGATCCAGATATAGAGGTGGAAGCAGTTGGAGAAAGTGCTCTGGTGCGGGTCGAAGAACCAGCCGCCAGTGAGCGAGGCCCACACCCCTTGGCGCAGGATCTGCAATACCTGTGACCCCATGGCCCCGCCGCTGCTGCACGCGCCCCCCTCCCGGGACCCTCATGGGGGCGGCCCCCGGCCCATGCCCCGCCTGGAGCGCGAGGGCCCCGGGGCCCAGCCCCGCGCTCACGCCATGGCCTCCCCCAGCGGGGGAGAGTGGTCAGTGGGGGCCGGGGTGCGGACAGGGGGCGGGGCCGCCCAGGCAGTCAGCGGCGCAAGAGGTGGGCACAGGGGTGGTGGGACCGCATCGGGCTCGGGTCCAGCCCCTACCCCTGGCCCAGAACTGCTTCGTGGGGCCGAGCCCGCAGGCGGGCGGAGGGCACGGGCCCGGCGGTCGCCGGCAGCATCCAGAGGTGGGCGTGGGGTGGGTGCTCTCAGGACGCAGGCGATGGCTCCCTCGGCTCCAGTCCAGGGGGAGCCCCGGATTCCTGGGGTCCACTCCACGGGTCACAAGTCACACGCCCCGGGTGGCGAACTCGCCCCTCAGCTGCCTGTGCCGGCCCAAGGGGAGGCCGGAAGAAGGAGCCGCGAACCGCCAGCCTGCGGTGGCGCATGCGCCCGACAAGCCCAGTGGGGACCCGGAAGAGGAAAGCCTGACGGCATGTGTGCGCAAGCGCGGAAAAGAGGCGGGGCGGTGTGAATCGGGGCGTGCCCTGAGGGCGGAGTCTGCGCCGACGGCACTTGACCGACCCCAAACAGGAAGCGGTGCGGCGCATGCCCAGAAGGCGCCTACTTGGTGTCCACTGGGCAGACCTGAAGGACTAGCTGGATGGCCATTGGCTAAAGGCAGTTATTGGCACAAAGCTCGCCCGCTGAGTTACAGGGGGCGGGGAGAAGGGTGCAGGCGTGGACTGCCCAGACCCACGCAAGCCTTGTCCGCTTGGGGAGCGCGCACCTGTCGACCCGCCCCTTTTAGTGCTGGGCCTCCAACGTCACGAAGTCCCTGGCTCCGAGCAGCCTCTACTTCCGAGTCAGAGTTCAGACATCGTGTGCCGAGAGCGATCCTCCGGCACAGGCTGGAGTAGTCGAAGCCAGATCGCGTCGTCTTTCTTAAAGTGACAGGCTCAAGGCAAGTGGGGCAGGGTGGGGGGTGGTCAACCCAAGCCCGCGGTTGTGAACGGGCGACCCGGCTATTCCAAATCCAATCGCTGGGCAAGCTTTGGGACCACCGGGTCCAGCTTCCGCCCCCTAGGGAAGGCCATAGGCAGTGGCTTGTCTCCCAGGTGAGGGAGCAAGACGAGGACCTGCGACAACCTCTTCCCAGAGCTTGAAGGGCAGCCAGTTCTGTCCCTTCTGCAGCCCACCCCGCACGTCCCCCTACCAAGGCCGCATTCTTGTCCCCATGTCTGAGATGAACGAGGCTCTGAGAGGATAGGTCACACGGCCCTGCAACCTTGTAGCCAAGGCCAGACGTGGGTGTGCCCCGCTCCCCAATCCGGCTCCTGCGCCGCGTTTGGCGGGTGCAGCGGGCCCAGGAGGGGGTCCTGAGCAGAGACCGGCTTCCACCCCAGCGGTCAGCCCGGGGCTTCCCTCCCCAGATCCCCAAGCCTGCGGCAACGGGGGGGCCCGAGGCCGCCCATCGCCTCCCCGCGCGCTCTCCGCGCCTCCCGGGGCACGTCCCGGGAGGGGCGCGGGGCCGCCGCCCGCGTCATCTGATGCTGTTTCCTGCAGGAGGGCGAAGAGCGGAAAAAAGCGAAACTCCACCCTCCGCCTCGGCCTCCCGCCCCCGGGGCCGAAGTACAAAGGCAGGAGGAAGCGGGGCACGGGGTCGGCC